CGGATCGGCAACGGCGCGACGCGTCGATTGACGATCTATGCTTTTGACCCATCAGTCTCCCAACATGTGATATTAGTCAAAGAACTCGCTTCACGGCGGTCCGCACGTGAGTCCCGCGGCGGCGCGCCGGATGAGAGGCAATGCCTCTCCACACTCCTCGGGAGCACACACACGGACATGCAGCGCGCACGCGGCCCAATGGCCGTGCACGAGCAACAGCGCGAGCGCCGCCAACCGCACCGACACTTTTGACCGCGTGCCGCACTTCCCGAATCCCTTCACACCCCACTGTCGCGCAATGTGCCGGCTCGTGTGCGGCTTCTGCCACGCCCACTCGAAAGCGAGCGCATCGCTCTTCGAGGAGAAGCCACGCACAACGAGCAGAATGCGCCACGGCGTCCCGCGGCGGGCGCGCCACCTCCCGAGAGCTCGCCGTTGTGCTGGCGCAGTCGTCGGACGGGGTCGGGGCTCGCGCCGACGTAAGTCCTCCGACCGCTCTCGTCTCGCAGGAAGTAGACGCGCCACGCCGATTCCTACTCCTCCTCCTCCTCCTCCTCAGCCTCGTCGTCGACGAGCGCGTTGCCGTCCCGCTCGTCCTCCTCGTCGCTGTCTCCGTCCTCCGCGTCGAGATCCACCTCGGTGACCGTCGCGCCGAGCGTGCGGAGGAAGTCGGCGAGGGTGCCAGTCGAGGCGGTTTGGGAGGCGATGGGAACCACCCAGGCTGTCTTGGTGATGCTCTTCGGGCCGTGCGGGCCGGGGAAGAGGAGGTCCGCGTACTCGACGTTGTCGAAGTGGGTCTTGACGTAGTCCTTGACGTCGTAGGTGTTCTTGCCCATCATGACGTGCGAGGGCGGGAGCAGGCCCTTCTTTTTCGTCTCAAACTGCGTGGCCGACTTGGCGAGCGTGAACTCGAGTGGCTTGACGGCTGGGTTGTCCATGGGCGAGACGTCGAGCTCGGGGTTGAGCCGCTTCGCCGTCTCGCGGAGACCAGGGGCGGCGAGGACGGCGGCGTGCATCTTCTTCGCCAGTTGCTTGCTCGGCGCGCGGACCGCCCACAGGCCGAGGTCCTTGAAGTAGCGCGGGTTCTGGTTGAACATCTTGTACATGAGCCGCTGGTACGCCTCGTTCTCGTCATACACCGGGTTGATGAGGTAGAAGACGCGGCCGGTGAGCTTGCCCTTGTTCTTATCGTTCTTCTGGTGGACGGCCAGGTGGAGCCTCGCCTCGATCGGCTTGCCCTTCTTCTTGCCCGTGCCGCCAGTGACGGTGGTCGCGGACGACGGCAGGTCGCTGAAGCCATCGAAGTCGGCCAGCGTCTTCTTCGCCTTGCCCTTCTTCTTCTCGCTCGAGGGTGGAGGCACGGGGCCCGGGCTCACGACACCGATCACAACAGCGCCGTCCTCCCCATCGGACTCGACGGCGGGCCGCCGACGCGGCTTGGCACTGGCACGTGGGGCCTTTGATGGCATTGGGCGATTGAAGTCAGAACCCTGAGCAGAGAGGAACGCGCGCCGGACGGACCAATAAGAGTTGTGCCAGCCCAAGATCGTTACATTCCAAGAATAAAATAAATCAATTTGGGAGATGCGTAAGAAGGTCACATAAGAAGGTCACAGGTACATGTGTATTCACTGCGAGATGCCGAAAAACCTCGGACATTTTACGAACTCCTTGGCGACGTGCGCGTCGCGTCGCCAAGGCTCTGCGACCTCGGTCGTACCATCGGCGACCTCGGTCGCACAACCGGCCGGCTGCGCGGGTTTTCAGCCAGGTTCCCGCGCACCGGCCACGAACTCGACTCGCACAGCGAACTCGACTCGCACAGCAAAAAAATCCGGTGCTCGTGCGCCGCTCTGCGGGTTGGTGGACGCGGGGGATGAGTCTCGCGCGTCGGGGTGCGCACGGCGGCGGCGTGCAATGGGCGCGCCTTTTGGCAGCGCCATCTGCGCGAAACGAAAGAGGTCGTTCCCTGCGCGCGATTGCTTCGAAAACCCTGGCGCCTCGCTGATGAGCGAGAGCAGCTCGTTGGGCAGCTGCCGGTCGAGCACTAGGCTGCCATTCTGGCAGCAAATCGACGGGTTCGTGACGGTGAAGCGTTCCGCGCCGCAGTTCATGCACACATCGCGCTGCTCGAAAAAGTTGATCGGATGCGCGGCCTCTAGGTTGTTGAAGCACGTGGCGTTCTGCAGGCACAGCCGGCGGTACTGCACACCCTCAGCCTCCGACGGGCATCGTGGGACGCGAGCCGCACCGACGGTGGTGGGAGCGGCTGCCCACGAGGGCACGTTATACTCACGCGTCCTCATCTGGCCTGAGGAGGAGTCGCGGTACTGGCGCGGCTCCTTCTCCATTGTAAACGTCTCAAAGACCGCGAGCGTCGGTGTCAGCGGCGTGCGGCGTGCGAGGGCCGGCATCCGATCCAGCAATGGCAGGCTTTCACGCATGGCTGGCTGCACGCGCGACGAATCCAACGCCGTCGTCTCGCACGGCAGCAGCCGGCCTGCGCCCTCGACGTGGTGGTCGCGCTGCCCAGCGTGCAACGCACGGTGGCGAGCGAGCCGCCTCGCCAGCCGCATCCTCTGAAAGGCCTCCCATGTGGCATCCGTCTCGGACAGCTCACGAGCCCATTCACGGTACGCCCTCGCGGTCTGGAAGAGATTCCGAGTCGGCCGAGTCAGCCCGGTGAAGTCTCCAGCCTCATCTGACCGATTGATACGCTCTCGACCCACGAGGCCATTTTCGTGTGCCCACGCGAGGTGTGGGTCGCCTGCCAGTGAGCGAGGGACGGGCTGAGCATGTGCGTACCGGATCTGGGCGAATGCTGTGACGGGATGCGCCCGCATCTGAACTGCTGCTCAATGAGAGCCAGCAATGCGGGCGCCACGCTCAATGAGCCTGCTCGGTTTACCGAGGCCGTGCTCTTCGAGCCGACGGCGTGGAAGTCGTGCGAGGGCTATGTGTACGGCGACCGTCACTCTGCATCGCCCGCCACCGCAGCTCCTCCGCCCTCTCTGCCTTTGCCACTCTCGCATCGTAGTCGTCGCCATCCGGCCGAACCCACACGCCTCGCAGGTAGTCCCAGTCGCATGGAACGCCAGAGACGGTCGGGGCTCTGGCTCGGGGCCTGGGAGTGCCGCCGGCAGCACGCACAGCGTTCAATGCTTGGCGCCGCTCCGTCCGTGCCGACGACATTTGTAGATGAAGGAGGCAGGTGGCCAATAGCGACCTTCGTTACGAAATGTAGCGTTACCGGGAGGTCTCCAAGCTGTCTTGGGTGGTCTGTGAACAGACGCCCTTGCTTGGCACGTTAATACTGTGAGTGTGTGTGTGTGTGTGTGTGTTAATACTGCTCCGGCTATGACACCGATACGCCGGACGAGGTGCAGCAGGAGGCGGTCCACAACGACAATCCGCTGACCCCCCGACGGACCGATTCGCCTTCCCCCGGCCATGGATGCCGCCGAAATTGTTAAATGTTCGATCCTCCCCAGACAGAGTCGAACTGGCAGCCACTCGCACCAAGGCGTGGAGGTGTGGCTACGTGACCCAGAATGTGCAGAAAAGCTAAGGCCAGAGTCCAGAGCAACCCTCGAGCTGGGTCGCTCATACAGAGCCGCCGGACGGATGTAAGTGGGGCGGGTTTGCTGCTGCGGGGTCCCCCGCTGTCGCCCGGGGTCGTGCGAGGGGTGGGCACGACCAGTAGGGACCCCCTCCCCCGGGCCCCGCTCTCAGTTGGGGCCTCCGCGGCCGAGTGGGAGATATTGGATGGGAAACGGGTCGATTTGCAAAGTGGGGCGCCGGGCCAGGCCGGGCCCGGCTCGGGCCCCTGCCGGGCCCGGCTCGGGCCCGTGCCGGGCCCGGCCCGCGCGCCCTGCCGGGCCCGGCTTGCCCCTCCCGGGCCCGGCCCGCGCGCTTTTTTGGGCCCGGCTTGCCACTCCCGGGCCGAAGCGCCCAAATCAGCAGGCCGAGGAGCGAGGCGGGCCCGGCGAGGAGAAAACCGGCCCGGCAAACCGTCCTGCCCGGGCCCGTCTGCGGCACATCGACCGTCCCGCTCACACACAGCCGGGCCCGGGCAGGAGGGTGTGCCGGGCCCGTTTTGCGCGAGGCGGGCCCGGCGAGGAGAAAACCGGCCCGGCAAAAGCACGCTCCCTCGGCGGCCGGGAGCGGCCACTTTTGACCCGGCCGGTGCCCCTGCCGGGCCCGCCCCACTTACGTCCGGGGCCCCAGTTATATCCGGCGGCTTCCTACTCAAAACAGAAAAATGCCAAGCTCCGAGTAGAGGGGGCGTTCCGCCGCTAGCCCGCTAGAGCCGCGTAGGCTAGGGGACCGACCCAAAAACGAAAAAGCGCAGAACCAACCCTCGGGGACCCGTGTTTATTGTACGGCCCTTTCCCTGCGAACGCGCACCCCCCCAGGGCTAGGGCTCTCTAGCCCGTAGCCCGATGCCGATCATCCGGCCCGCTGGGTGCGCTTATCTTAGCTCCCCGGCCCTGGATGTGAGGTTACTAAATCCCTCCACCACCCTCGCCCAGGGATCTTGACAACGCTGTCTCAAGGTCCGACCTGTGGGCTCTGCCTGCGCTCGGCACCGGGCACCGCCTCGGTATACAAAATGCGCCTGCGGGCGGACCCTTACAGATCACAGATCACTAAAACTGTCAGCACTCCAAGTGCTCCAAGTGCCAAGCGCCTCCCGTTTCCCTTCGTTCCGGCCTTCCCCCCTCGTCCCTGCCCCTCGAACCCCCCCATTCACTATTTACATACATAAAACACAACAGTACGCGATCACACCAGTGTAATTCCACACGGGCACGCCCCCCCCCCCTCCCACCGCGAGACACCAAACACCGTACGGACGTGGCGAGTGTCTACACCGAACGTCTCACCACGAGACCACACACGTCTTGTGCGAGTGTTCGCCGAGAGGCCTATGGTCGTCAGTTTCACCCTCGCGCGCGCGACGCGGTGAGTGGCGCGCCGCAAAAAGGCAGCGCCTGCCGTCAGCACGTTTCGCCGCACGTGCCCTCGCAGCACGAGAGATCGTCGAGGAACATGTCCATCTTGCGGCACGCCTCGACCGCCGACTTAGTGTCGCGGCCGAGGCCGCGGCAGATGGCGTTGGCGACGATCCCGAAGCGCTGCCTGAACTTGTAGATGAAGCAAAAGGAGAGCTTCCCGTGCCGCACCGAAGGGCCGACGAGGAAGACGCCGGGCACCTTCGTCGACTCGTCCTCGCTGGTCAGCAGGGGCGCGCCGGCCGCGCACCCCGTCGCCCGCTCGCGCGCGGCGTGCTTCTCCGCCGACTGTTTGGCCACGTCGTCCGCATCGCGCGCGAGCTGCTCGAGCAAGTCCTAACGGGCGTGCCGTGCGCACGTCACGGGGCGCGCCTCTCACCCACCGGAACCGGAAGCGGACTCTGCTCGAGCGGGGCCTTGGCCGGAGGGGAGGCGGAGGACGGGTCGGCCTCGTCCGGCGCCGCCTCGCCCGCGAACTTGAAGAGGTGGCGGGCGGCCGAGGCGACGGACCCCTCGAAGCCGGTGCACAGCACGGGCGGCTGCGCCGTGTGCAGCACCACGTCCTCCCGGCCGAGCGTGCTGTGCACCGGGCTCGTGAACGGCTTGCGCATCGAGCGAGACATCGGGGGAGGGGGCGGGGCGGCCTGCCACTCGGCCGCCACGTTGAAGCCGCCCTCGGACGCCCTCTCCACGCTCACCACGCGGAGGGGCGCCATCAGCTTCGGGCGGGGCGAGAAGCCCGTTGCGGTCACCTCGCGCAGCCGCTCCGCGGTGTAGGGCGCCTGAGGGGCGCAGCGCGGACGCGTCGTGGGCGTGTCGTGGACGCGGCCAGCCTCTGCCGTGCGTGTGGGGCGCCAGCTCGGTGGACGGGTCCGTCGTCTGGACGTCCCACGTGCCGGTCGAGGCGAGGACGGTCGCCTGCTTGCCCGCCTTTGCGAGGTTGACGGCCGCGTCCACTCCGCTCTCGTACCTGGCGGAGAGGACAGAGGCGACACGGTGGGCGCGGGGAGGCGACGGAGCGGTGGGCGCCGGCGACGAGGCGAGGGCGCGGGGCGGCGCTCGGAGGAGGGCACGGGTGGGCGCATCGCTCGAGAGGGCGAGGCGCTCTGGCTCCGCTGCACACCCGCCGATGAGCACGTACTCGTCGCCGGGCATCTCCTTCCAGGAGCGGACGCGCGAGTTGTGCGTGCAGAGCCCGGCGCCCGCAAAGGCGTCGGGGCTCTCTCGCGGGTACTGGAACTCGCCCGCCGCCCAGACGACGTACCGCGACCGCTTGGTCACCTCCTCGCCCGCGGCGCGCACGCGCACGTTGAAGCCGCCGCCGTCGATGGGCGCGACCGACAGCACCTCGGTGCGGAGCTGCACGTTGAGCTTGGCGGCCTCGGCGATCTCGTTGATGTAGTCTGCGTACTGCGTGCCCGACGGGTGCTGCGCGTGCAGCGTGTACGCGGGCGAGGTGCCGTGGGCGATCGAGTTGAGGTCAAAGGACTTTGTCCAGCCCTGCAGGGCGGCGGTAGGCGGTGGGGCGCAGGCGGCGGGGTGAGGTTGCGCAGGCGAGGGCGTGGCGTGCGCCTGCTGGTTGAACGACGGCGAGATGAAGCGCATCTCCTCAGGCCACGACCGGAGGGAGGTGCCGACCGCCTCGCCGCGCTCGAGAACCAGCACGCGGGAGGGGTCGAGGCCAAAGATGGCGGTCAGCGAGAAGGCGATCCCGATGC